AGACAATGGCATGATATATTTCAAGTTTTAAATTACAAACAATGCCAACTTAGAATACTACACCCTGCAAAGCTATCATTTATGAATGAAGGGGAAATAAAGATCTTCCACGACAAACAGAAACTGAAAGAATTTGTATCCACACGTCCAACCCTACAACACTTGCTCAAAGATGTGCTGCACACAGAAATACAAAAGCAAGAACTTCACTACAAAAAAAAGTGAATGTAGAGTAACCCACAAACAAAGTTCAAAATACATAAACAGCTCGTTTCAGGAAACATGAATGGGAAAAGATAGTACTTAACAGTAATCACACTGAATGCGAATGGTCTTAATTCCACGACAAAGAGACATAGACTAGCTGATTGGATAAAGAAAGAGAATCCATCTGTATGCTGCCTTCAGGAGACACACCTTATCAGCAAAGATGCACACAGACTGAAAGTGAAAGGATGGAAAAAGATACTCCAAGCTAACGGAAATCAAAAAAGAGCTGGTGTGGCCATCCTAATAGCAGACAAAATAGACTTTAACATAAAAACTATTAAAAGAGACAGAGAAGGGCACTATATAATGATTAAAGGATCTATCCAACAGGAAGACATTACTATTATAAATGTATACGCACCTAATTACAGGGCGCCTGGCTACCTGAAAGAATTATTAAAGGATTTAAAGGGAGTTATAGACTCAAATACAATAGTAACAGGGGACTTCAACACCCCACTCTCACCAATGGACAGATCAACCAGACAGAAATTCAACAAGGAAACAACTGAGCTAATTGACGCCATAGACCAAGTAGACACAATAGATATCTTCAGAACCTTCCACCCCACAGACACAGATTTCACATATTTCTCCCCAGTACATGGAACATTCTCTAGGATTGACCATATGCTAGGCCATAAAGGGAGCCTCAACAAATTCAAAAAAAATTGAAACTATACCATGCAGCTTCTCAGTGAAACTTGAAATCAACATCCCAAGAATCTCTACACCATATGCAAATATATGGAGAATGGACAACATGATCCTAAATGAACAGTGGTCATTGAAGAAATTAAAAGAGAAATCAAAAGATCTCTAGAAACAAATGAAAATGATAACATAACCTATCAATACCTGTGGGACACAGCAAAAGCAGTGCTAAGAGGAAAGTTTATAGCAATTGGTGCCTACATCAAGAAGCTGGAAAGGAACCAAACAAATGACCTCTCCACGCACCTCAAGGGTTTAGAAAAACAGCAGCAAATCAAGCCCAAATCCAAAAGGAGGAAAGAAATACTAAAGATCAGAGAAGAAATAAACAGAATTGAAACCAAAAAAACAATACAAAAGATCAACAAAACCAGGAGCTGGTTCTTTGAAAAAATAAACAAAATTGACACACCATTGGCCCAACTAACCAAAAAAAGGAGAGAGAAGACCAAAATCTGTAAAATCAAAAATAGTAATGGAAATGTAACAGCAGACACAACAGAAATAAAAAGAATCATCAGAAACTACTACAAAGAGATGTATGCTAACAAATTGGGGAACCTGGAAGAAATGGATAGATTCCTGGACAAATACAACCTTCCTAAACTGAGCCGTGAAGATATAGAAAATCTAAACAGACCCATAACCGTGGAAGAAATTGAATCAGTAATAAACGCACTACCAAAAAAGAAGAGACCAGGACCGGATGGCTTCACTGCCGAATTTTACCAGACATTTAGAGAACAACTAACCTCAGTTCTTCTCAAATTATTCAAAACGATTGAAAGAGAGGGAATCCTTCCAAATTCTTTCTACGAAGCCAATATTACCTTAATTCCTAAGCCAGGAAAAGACATAACAGAGAAAGAAAACTACAGACCTATCTCCCTGATGAACATAGATGCAAAAATACTCAACAAAATTCTGGCAAACCGAATCCAACTACACATCAGAAAGATCATTCACCCGGACCAAGTGGGATTTATCCCTGGTATGCAGGGATGGTTCAATATTCAAAAGTCAATCAATGTAATACATCACATTAATAAATTGAGAAACAAAAATCATATGGTTATCTCAATAGATGCAGAGAAAGCATTTGACAAAATACAACACCCTTTCATGATGAAAATCCTAAGCAAATTGGGGTTAGAAGGAACATTCCTCAACACAATTAAGGCAGTCTATGATAAACCAAAGGCCAGCATCATATTGAATGGGGAAAAGTTGGAGGCATTTCCATTGAAAACTGGCACCAGACAGGGATGCCCACTCTCACTATTGCTATTCAATATAGTCCTAGAAGTGTTAGCCAGAGCCATCAGGCAAGAAAAAGAAATTAAAGAGATACAAATGGGAAAGGAGGAAGTTAAACTATCCCTATTTGTAGATGACATGATACTATATATAGGGGACCCGATAAACTCCTATAAGAGACTACTGGAACTCATAGAAGAGTTTGGTAAAGTAGCAGGATACAAAGTCAATGCTCAGAAATCAACAGCCTTTGTATACACAGACAATGCCAGGGCCAAGGAAGAACTACTAAGATCAATCCCATTCATGATAGCCACAAAAACAATAAAGTACCTTGGAATAAATTTAACCGAGGAGGTCAAAGACCTCTATGATGAAAATTACAAAACACTAAAGAAAGAAATAGAAGACGACACAAAAAAATGGAAAAACCTGCCATGCTCATGGATTGGAAGAATCAATATCATCAAAATGTCCATTCTCCCAAAAGCAATTTACAAGTTCAATGCAATACCAATCAAAATACCAAAGTCATTCTTCAAAGACCTAGAAAAAACGATGCTGAAATTCATGTGGAGAAACAGGAGACTCAGAACAGCTAAAGCAATCCTTTACAATAAAAACAAGTCCGGAGGCATCACAATTCCAGACTTCAAGGCATACTACAGGGCAGTTATAATAAAAACAGCCTGGTACTGGCACAAAAACAGATGCGTAGACCAATGGAACAGAATAGAAACACCAGAGATCAATCCAAACATCTATAACCAACTCATATTTGACAAAGGACCTAAAACCAACCCCTGGAACAAGGACAGCCTCTTCAACAAATGGTGCTGGGAAAACTGGATGTCCACATGTCGCAGTATGAAGCAAGACCCCTGCCTTACACCTTATACAAAAATCCACTCAACATGGATCAAGGAACTAGAGATGCGCCACGACACCTTGAAACTAATTGAGAGCATAGGAGAAACCCTTCAAGATATTGGAACAGGCAAAGAATTCCTGGAGAAGACCCCAGAGGCACAGGTAATCAAAGATAAAATAAACAAATGGGATTACCTCAAATTGAAGAGTTTCTTAACAGCAAAGGAAACAGTCAGGAAAGCGAAGAAGCAACCAATAGAATGGGAGACGTTATTCACAAACCACACAACAGATAAAGGATTAACAACTAGAAGCTACACAATGATCAAAAAACACCGCAGAATCAAAACAAACAACCCAATAAAAATGGGCCAAGGACCTTAACAGATATTTTTCAAAAGAGGAAATCCAAATGGCCAACAGACACATGAAAAAATGCTCAGGATCCCTAGCCATCAGGGAAATGTAGATCAAAACCACAATGAGATTCCACCTCACTCTGCTTAGATTGGCTTACATACAGAAATCAACCAACAACAGATGCTGGCGAGGATGTGGAGAAAAAGGGAAACTAATCCACTGTTGGTGGGAATGCAAACTGGTCAAGCCACTATGGAAGTCAGTCTGGAGAATCCTCAGAAACCTGAATATAGCACTACCACAGGACCCAGCCACCCCACTCCTTGGAATATACCCAAATGGAATTAAAGGGGAGAAAAAAGCCATCTGCACCCTAATGTTTATTGCAGCTCAATTCACAATAGCTAAGACATGGAATCAACCTAAATGTCCATCAACGGATGACTGGATAAAGAAACTATGGGATATGTACTCTATGGAACACTATACAGCAGTAAAAAACAATGAAATCCGGGCATTTACAACAAAATGGAGGAAGCTGGAAAACATCATGCTGAGTGAAATAAGCCAGTCCAAAAGGGACAAATATCACATGTTCTCCCTGATCTATGGCAACTAAACGAGCACCTAAAATGATACCCATTGAAGTGAAATGGACACTATGAGAGACAATGACATGAGCAGCCCTTGTCTAGACTGTTGAGGAACAACTTACTATTTGGTTCCTTTAGTATTTTTGTTGTTGTTGTTGTTGTTGCTCAGTTTGCTCTATACAAGACCACTGGTTGAACGCTGCAATCAATGCACAACCATTCTTAAGCGTTTAAAAATTAACAGAAAATTGATCTCTGTGAAACATAGGAGTGGGAATAAGAGAGGGAGGAGATATATAGGATGGCACATACTCACTCAGACCTACCTCCTATGGTGGAACTAGAAATGTGCCAGGGGATTTCAACTCAACCTTACCAAGGAGGCAGGTACCAATGCCAGCACACTTGGTAAAGTGATAAGTATAAATACACAACTGATCAAAAGATAGGGTAAGTGTCGAAGAGATTTCACAAATAAGACCAGTGTAAGCAAATAATGAAGGATAGAGTCAAAAGGGAGAGAATGTTCCTGTGGGGGAAGCAGGACAGACAGCAGACTCATAGAATGGCAAACACACAAAACAGCACTCCTGCCTCAGAATCAACCCTTGGGACATTCGGATCTGACTAAAAGGTCCATGAGAGTCTCACAGGCATGGAAAGCCATGACACGGTGGCAAAAAACAATCTAAATGAAAGATCCTGGTGAACAAGACCCCAGCAGAAGGATCAGGCCATCAAGGAGAGAGGCACCTTTCTCTGAAGGGAGGAAGGAACCTCCACTGTAATACAGTCTTGACTAAACAAATTCAGAGTTGGTGAACTCAAGGGGCTTCCATAGCCTAGACAGCTCATAGCAAGAGTCTCGGGTGATTGCTGACATCATAAATAAGAGTGCCAATTGTTAAATCAACAATGGGAGTCACTGGGTTCATGCTTCCCACGCAGGATCTCTGTCCTTAATGTGTTTTACTATGAAACTCAAAAACAACACTACTAGTTGAACAATACCCTATGCCTGGTTCTGTTGTGTGAGTGCAACCTGTTGAAATCCCTGCTTAGTATATACTAAGTTGATCTTCAGTATATGAAGGTAATTGAAAATGAAACGTGATGAAGGGCGGAATGGGAGAGGAAGTGGGAGAGGGGAGGGCCACGGGAGGGAAGGAGGTGGGGGGGAGCCACAACAATACAAAAGTTGCATTTTATATTCTACTTAAAACTATTGGTTGAACTCTAATTAATACACAGTTACTCTTAGGTGTTTAATTATTGCTATAACTAGTACTCAAATAGTATTTTACACTTGTGTTTCTGTGAAGGAGGAAAATGTGGAAATCTTTACTTAATATACGCTAAATTGATCTTCTGTATATAAAGATAATTGAAAATTAATCTTGATGTGAAGGGAAGGGGAGAGGGAGTGGGAGAGGGGAGTGTTGTGGGTGGGAGGGAAGTTACGGGGGGGAGGAAGCTATTGTAATCCATAAGCTGTACTTTGCAAATTTATGCTCATTAAATAAAAAGAAAATCATAATCACACTCTACAGAATTTAATTTATGTTTTGTTTCCTGAAAGCATTTAGGACCAAGATATCCTTTGTGTTCATTTTAATGAGTATCACTTATGTGCTTTATGCATTAGAAAAATTTTTCTGTTTGTATTTTGCAGTATCATGAGACTTCAATGTATATGATTTTAGTGTGTGACTTCTGAAGATTTTCTGTGACTTTTGAAGATTTTCCTGTAATATGTACATGAACTTTTTGTTTTTCTCTTTATCACAGGTTTAGTCTTGAGTTGTAAAACTGTCCAGTGTTTTACTGAGCTATAAAAATCCTTGCACACTGATCATAGAACCACAAAACCATCAGTGGATTTATCAGATTGACTAATCTATAACCTTGTAGTTTATTGAGCAATAAAGTAGCCTCAGGATATGTTGTACTTGCACCTTATTTTTGAAACCTCTGGACTGAACATGTTAAGGGTCTAGAACCGTGCTTTCTGTTTGAAAATTCATTATGCAATTTAGGATTTCAGTGAAATGTATTTAACTCAACACCCTATTGATATTACATCTCAGGTTATTCAAAGTGCCATTTTTGGGAATGGCAGCAATCTGATATGGATTGCAATTTAATTGTATATCTTCTCTTTGAAACAAAGCTTCTCACTGCAGGACAGTGGCTGTTTCTACCTATGCTTGAGGAAGTAGACAGTTTATAGATTTGTAAGCTATCTGTAAAGGCTAGTGAAGAATTAATTGCATATTTTTTCATGAAGTGAATTCTAATAGTGTCACAATAACATAGAGAACACAACTGCCAAATTAGACTCACACTGATTACCCATGGTAAACGAAACAGAAGGCGCTTATTAGATAAATGCTGTTTGGATTAAATTTCTCTTTTCTCACTGAAAGTATTTATAAAGCCTGTCTCTTTGACGTTTTAATTTTTGTTCTTGGTTTACACTGGAAATTTTCAAGCCCTAACACTGCAGACAATAAAAATCTCATCTGAAGTATACAGCAAGAGTACTTGAGAACTGAAGCATGTTGAATTATAAACGCTATGGAAAGATGAAAAGCAAAAAGTTCATAGTTTGCATAGAATGGTTCAATTGCTCCCAGGAAAATAATACATGCTTCCCTGCTGATTGTTGGAATGCAGAGGAAATGTAACTAAGTATGAACCTAAAACTAAAACTAGAGAGCTTTCTTCCTTTCTTCTATGTTGGTTTAAATAAATTCCCAAATCCTAAAGCTAGAAGTATTCTACTACTTCATTGACAGAAAACTTTTTCTTCCTTCTTGTCTTTTCAAGCAATGGATTAGAAAAGCATATTGGGAAATTATTAATATAGTCTTCTATAAATGACACAGAATAGATATTTTTGGGCTGATATTTATGAAAATGGTGGTAATCAATCTTAAAGCACTTAAAATGATTTAGACATAAATGAGTTTAATTTTTTGGTAAGAGAATAAGTTTTATTCTTACTATTTAGCCTGAAATATTAAACATCATAATTCTTGAACTGTTATGTCTCTAATATGCTTTTCCTGTTTCATCCTCTTTCCTCTCAGAGAAATCACTATTTTGAAAATGGTGTTGTTTTGGCCGGCGCCGTGACTCAATAGGCTAATCCTCCACCTTGCGGCGCCGGCACACCGGGTTCTAGTCCCGGTCGGGGCGCCGGATTCTGTCCCGGTTGCCCCTCTTCCAGGCCAGCTCTCTGCTATGGCCAGGGAGTGCAGTGGAGGATGGCCCAGGTGCTTGGGCCCTGCACCCCATGGGAGACCAGGAAAAGCACCTGGCTCCTGGCTCCTGCCATCGGATCAGCGCGGTGCGCCGGCTGCAGCGGCGGCCATTGGAGGGTGAACCAACGGCAAAGGAAGACCTTTCTCTCTCTGTCTCTCTCTCTCACTGTCCACTCTGCCTGTCAAAAAAAAAAAAAAAAAAATGGTGTTGTTTCTTGATTCATTTGTTAAAAGATTTTTATTATTTATTTATTTGAAAGCAAAGTTACAGAGGGAAAGAGGCAGAGAGAGAGAGGGAGACACCTTCCATTCACTGGTTCAGTCCCCAGATGGCTGCAATAGCCAGAGCTGGGCTGATCTGAAGCCAGGAGCCAGGAGCTACTTCTGGGTCTTCTGCATGGGTGCAGATGTCCAAGGACAGCTTTAGCCTGCTGTGCCATGGGGTTGGCACCACTTGATTCATTTTTTTAAAACATGCTTACTTATTCATTTGTATTTCATCTGCTGGTTCACTCCTTGACAACAGAGCTGGGGCAGGCCAAAGTCAGGGGTCAACAATCCATTTGGGTATCCCATCTGGGTGGCAGGGACCCATGAACTTGAGCTATTATCTGCTGCTACCCAGGGTGTGTACTAGCAAGAAACTGGATCAGCAGCAGTGGTGGAACTTGATTCCAGGCTTTTTAATAGGGATATGGGCATCCTTAGTGGCAGCTTAATCCACTGTACCACTTTTAGCTGCTAACCTCTTTTCTTGATTTGTTAATAGTATATTATTAATCTATCCACCTATCTCTTTACTCATCAATCCACTCACTTAAATTCCTCAAAAGTACCTGTTTCAAGATAATGAAAATTTTAATACATTTTAATAAATATCTTAAGATTTTATCACTTATATTTTAGATTTAATTACTTTTGATTTTTCCGTGTGGCATGAACAGGAATATTTGATTGTTTTTCAGATAAAAATAATAATGTATTGCATACCTACCCTTTCGCACCTAATTTGTAATGTTAGTTATACCACACAATAGATTCCTTTGCATCTTTGAGTCTGTTTTGGCTTTTGTTATTGTTGTGGAGTGGCTGGATCCAGAATTTTGTATCCAAAACAAGAATAAATTTGAAGATGACACATAGGTAAAGGTCATCAGAGAAGCAACACTTATTTGAAATACACACCTAAAAAGGAGTGAAGGCATACTCAAGAGAGTTCCATTCAATGAGTTTCAAGTCCATTTCTTTACATTATCTAGTGGCTTAGGGATGATGTGTAGGGTAGAGTTTAATTAAATATTCGTAAGTTGTAGAACTTGGGAGAAGTGCCGAACACCATCCATTTTCTTGTTCTGCTTTGAAAATCTTGGATGTGTCATGGTATCAGATAAATTATGGGAGTAAGATTGTCAGTCATGGTAATTTCATTATAATGACATTATAGTGAGCAAGAGGTCATTGCAACAATGTAGCCTGAAACCATGTTGAGTATTTCTGACTGCCGCTGGTTTTGGGTGGCTGTTTCATGGAAGCTGTAGTTTTCTACCAACTGGAAGGCGGTGGAGTTTTGGAGTTGCTGGGATAGACTGGCAACTTCAGCTCCTCATTGCTTGTCACTTCCTACCTTCCCTATTTTTGTCTCTTAATTTTTATGGGAATTCATGGGAAGAGGGTCCATCTTCTTTAACTTCTTCATGCTGCTTCAGGGCACCATCCTCACCTAGTCAGGGAATGAAAATCTCTTGCCAACTAATCTAGAGTTTTCATTATAGGAGCTAGACATTTGCTGTCAGTTAGTAATGGCTGGAATCCCTCCATGAACACCATTTTTCACAACAGTGTGGAATTCTGGAAGGGACAAATTTGACAATTAGGTTGAGTATGAGAGGGCCAAAAAGGAGCAAGAGTTAGAATCATGTTGGAAAGGTTGGTAGAAGCAAAGGGACTTTCTTTGCCCAAATCATGGAACCATTTGGCCTGATCATAAATCATTTTGTTATTGTTGTCCATGAGCTCACCGTTAATGTAAGTGTAGTAGGTTTTATTAATCAGCACACATACTCCATTCTGTTTTGGTAGTAGGTAATCTAGGCCTACTCTGTTGTCCACGTCCATTTTAGTGAGGGAATCTAAAGAATATAAGAGTTCCTGTAGGGCCTGGCCAGTGGTCATCCAAAGTAGATTTCTCAAAACTGTTTTTTTCATGGTATATGGTAAGATCTTTCTCTTTTTGTTTTTGAGGCAGAAAGGGGGTTTTCCTGCCATTGGTAGTTTCCCAGGAAAGATAAGAAAATAAGTAGGAAAAAGCATATTGGCTGGAAAATACAATACACTTAATGCCTCTCCCTTTAGGGAGAAATTTACAGGAAAAGCAGAAATTTACTTATCTTTTAGCCTTTTGAAGATAAATTTCATGTACACAATTGTCTCACAAGAGTAGGCAGAATTATACTCCTGGTGTCTGTGTGTGTGTGTGTGTGTGTGTGCTTGTGAAGACTCAGGAAGTAGATATTTAAGGCTTGACACATGTACCTAGCTAGACATTTCCTGTAATTTAACTGAAGTAGAAGTTTTAAGTCACACCTGACAGGATCTTTTCCATTTAGACTAGTTGGTCAAAGGGAAATCACTCTCTACAAGTGTTTAACAAAACTAGATCTCCTGAAGAGATTGTATGTTCATGCTTTTTGTAATCTGGTGCTGGGAGAATCTTGTTACCATATTCTGTCAGAGCCTCCTGCACCTGACTTCAATGGACAACATATTTTATTTTATTTTGGGCATCTGAATCAAAGAGGATGTCAGAGGTCAGGAAGAGTCTCCCATA